TATCACACTATGATCTTCATTTTGCTCATTTCTTATAACACTGTCTTACGGTTGTGTTGTAAGAGATTTTTGTGTATGCCAAATACAAGTTCATTGTCAGAAATAGGTATTGTGAATGTTTTCTCCCAGGTTGTGCCTTGACTTTTTATTTTATTAACAAAGTATTTCTAGGAAACAACTGAAATTTTAAATTTTGATGGGATCTAATTTATTTTTTCATTTTTTTTGTATCCTATCTAAGAAATCTTTGCTTGCCATAAGATTGTGAACATTTCTTCCTTTTTTTTTTTTTTCAAGTTCTATAGCTTTAGCTTTTATATTTAGGCCTGTGATTCCATTTGAGTTCATTGACGCTATTTGAGTTGGGGAGCAAGATTTACCTATTTTTTCCATTTGGATAGCTATTGTCCACCGCTGGCTGAAAAGACTTTTCTTTCAAAGCCTTTTGAAAGATGCCAGTGTATAGACTTGGCTATATATTGTGGTCCTCCATAAGGCAGGGAGTAGAGATCAGAGGAACAGAACATAGAATCTAGCTATACATTGGCATCTTTGTCAAAAATCAGTGATATACATGTGGATTCATACCTGGATTCTCTGTTCTGTTCCACTGATCTCTAGTCACTGCCTTATTGTGGACCACAGTTTCTCAGCCTTGGTGCTGTTGATTTTTGAGCCACATAATTCTTTGTTGTGGGACACTGTCCTGTGCACTATTAGATGTTTAGCAGCACCTCTGGTCTCTAGCCCTACTTGTCAATATGATACTGCTCTCCTCCCTCCAGAGTAATGACAATGAAGAATGTCTCCCAACTTTGCCAAATGTTCCCTGGCGGGGGGGGGAACTGGCCCCAGTTGAGCACTACTGCTATAAATTCACTACATTCCTTGACAGTTAGGACAATCTCCAACTTTGTTCTTTCTAAAATACATTTTTATATTTTTACAGTATAAACAAAAATACATCTAGGCCCTTTGCACTTTCATATAAATTTATATTAAATTTATCTCTAAATATTTTGCGATTTTTATGTCTTTTTTAGTTGGTATGATTGAGATCTAATTATGTACAGTGAAATTGACAAATACACTGTTGCATTCTAAAGAGTGTCTTCAGGTTGAAAGCCGAGGTAATTTTAGGGCTCACCTCATTTGTTCTCTTTTTCCTTGAATCATCGTTCTGTGTTTTCTGTTTTCCATCATCTTTAAATAGTGGCTTCTCATTTTACTCAGTTTTCTTGTTGTTTAGAGTGGGAGGGCAAATCTAGTACCGATTACCTCACCAAGACTACAAGCAGAAGTCCCTAATAATCAACTTTTAACAGTCTCATTAATTTGAGTGGTTACTCAGTGCCAGAAAATATACTAGTCATTCTTCATTGGTTATTTTATTTTTTCTTAATAATCTTATCAGGTAGGTACCATGATCATCCCTATGTAAAGATAAGAAAATGAGGCTTAAAGAGGGTAAGAATTTACTGAGTAATAGACAGTAGCAAATGGCAGGGCTGGAATTCAAATTTTGGTAGTTGGACTCTGAAGCCCAAGTGTTTAATCACTTTGCCAATTGTCCAAAAACACTATATGAAAAATGATTTTAGATAACACACAGGTGAAGTTTTTATTTTAATAGCAAATTAGTGTAATATATGTTAGAAAAAATACAGTTACCACATCTGATATGGTTTGGGTCTGTGTCCCCACCCAAGTCTCACCTGGAATTGTAATCCCCAGATGTTGAGGGAGGAACCTGGTGGGAGGTAATTGGATGATGGGGGTGGTTTCCCCCATGCTGTTCTCATGATAGTGAGGGAGCTCTCATGACATCTGATGGTTTTTTAAAAAGCAGCTTTCCCTGCGTGTGCCCTCTCTCCTGCCACCATGTGAAGAAGTTGCCTACTTCCCTTCACCTTCCACCATGATTGTAAGTGGCCTGAGGCCTCCCCAGTCATGTGGAACTGTGAGCCAATTAAACCTCTTTTATTTATAAATTACCCAGTCTCAGGTAGCATCTTTATAGCAGTGTGAAAATAGACTAATACAATATCTAAGCCATGATTTTTCAGATACTTTTGCTTGGGACAAGAGTGAGTAGATTATTTTAAATAAAAAGATGAGTCTGTTTAATTATCTGTATTACAGGTCATAACCAGATATAGCAAGAACATGCAGGTGACAGAGAATATCTGCCTGGGACAGGTGCCCTGACTATGCGTATCCCTTCGGGCTTGGTGAATGTGGCTCCAGGCCTACCCCAGTGTCCATGTGCAACTGTAGACACGGATGAATAGAACTACTTTTACATAAGGGAAACTCACACTGCAACTTGCTTTTTTTATTCCATAATATGTGCTAGCCTTTGACCTTACCCACACATAGAGAGTTCAAAGGCAGCCCCACGTCTTTTTGTAGGGTTGATGGTCTTCCTTACCTGCAAGCAGTTTTCGATCCTTTACGGCAGGGGTCCCCAAACCCCAGGCCATGAACTGGTACCTGTTCATGGCCTGTCAGGAGCTGGGCCACACAGCAGGAGGTGAGCAGCCAACAAGCGAACATTACCACCTGAGCTCCACCTCTCATCAGATCAGTGGGGGCACTAGATTCTCATAGGAGTGCAAACCCTATTGTGAACTGTGCATGTGAGGGATCTAGGTTCCATGCTCCTTATGAGAACCTAACTGATGCCTGATGATCTGAAGTGGAACTGTTTCATCCCAAAACCATGCCTTCCCCCTATCTGTGGAAAACTTGTCTTCCAATAAATTAGTTCCTGGTGCCAAAAAGGTTGGGAACCACTGCTTTAGAGTACCTCCTCCTCATGGCTGCTGTGAAAATCAGGGTTCCAGGATTTCCATAGCAGGCCCTCAGTCATCCCAGCCAGCATAGAGACCAGGAGGAAAGGCACCAATTCACAGTGCAAGATGAAACTTAATCAAACGGGGAAGGAACACAAGGCCCACAGCTCCAGCATCTGGACTAGCAGAACCCACAGCAGTCTGTGGGCCCACCCCAGCGAGTCCCCACCAGTTCACAAGGCAGTGGCCTCCCATGGCCTCACTGAATCCTCACTAGGGCTTCATGCCCAGCAACCAGCCTGGATGACCCAGCTGAGACAAGGGATGACTTGTCCAGGGCTGAAGAATGGTGGAGCTGGGACTCAGCACTAGGAACTGTGCGGAGGAAGCACTTTAAACATACCTTCACATGTACCTCTCTCCACACCAAGGCCAGGGATTCAGACCACTGTCCTGGAGGTGCGGCAATCGAGGTCAGTGTAGCTGGGTGCCTGGTCCCAGGTCCCTCTGACTCCAGAGCCTGTGCTTCTAGCCCCTGCTCTGCAGGAAAAGCATGCTTGCTGCCTAGACTGCACTATCCCGAAGGGGAGGGACACTAGCCCTTCTGATGACTCCTACCTCATCTATGTAACAGGATTCTGCCAGGATCTGACCCCTCCTGGCAGAAGCAGGTAAGAACAGCGCAGGCAGGATGTTTGAAATTCCTCCTGTCCTGGGTTTCCAGGTACACATGATCCCTGCACTGCTGAGTGCAGTTGGAGATCTCAAGAAGCAGAGATTAGCAAAGGCTGGCGTGATCAGGGTAGGCTGTCTGCAGGAGGCAGAGGGCTGGACTGCAACCAAACTGACCAAAGCTTCAGGAAATGGTTCTGAGGGAAAAGTCCCCAAGCAGAGGCAGCCGAGGGATGGAGCGTGGAAAAGGCCCAGGGTGCAGAAGCCCAGGCAGTGACACCCATGGCCATGGTGCTCACGGGCATGGACCCCAGGCTCAGTGAGAAGTCACTCTCAACACCTGGCTCAGCTGCAGTGTAGATTCCATCTTACCTGCAACTTGGTTTTCCATGTCAGGGGAAAAAAATCCCCAAACCCACCACATGGGTACCTCTGGTCAAAGTGGGCCTTCATGTTTTCCTTCTTTTTGGAGTGACAGGAATAGCACACTCTGCATCACCTGTGTGCTGTTCCTTCTCAGGGATCCACTTCTGACCCTGTCTCCAACCACTCATCACCCACAAGTGGCTGGGGTGTTGGTGCAGATGCTCTGTGGGGCACATCGGGTGCCTTTGTTCCTGGGTGCTGCACTCAGCACAGCACCCTCCTCTCACCCTCTGGGAAAGTTCTCTCTCTCCTTGTTCCCAACATTGCTCTTCTTCCCTCCCAGGATTTCTTCCTGAAAGGACTGATGTTGTGTTTAATTTTCCCTCTCTGCCTGACTACCAGATGAGCTTCTTACCAACCCTCTTCTCCAATTCAGATAAGAAGTTTGTCATGTCAGAAGGACAAACTTTCAGAATAATGTCTACTTTTCAACACTGGCAAATCACAGCCATGGCTGTATCTAATAGTTACTGGTCACAGTAACCACACTAATGCCACTCAAGGGTCTTACAGCTCTTCTTACCCCTGTCCCAGCTGTGACCCTGACATCTCTCACCTATTAGACAGTGTCACCTGGATCCCCACGCACAGTCTCTGTGTCACTGTGTGCTGTTCCTTCTCTGGGGTCCACTTCTGGCCCTGTCTTCAACCACTCTCATCCCCACTCTCACTCTGACTGTGGGCAACTACAGCCTCTCTCAGCTGGTCCAACTTTCAACACTCCCCCAACCCAAGCTGCTGCCATTCTTCTTTCTCTAAAATTCTGACTTCATCCCATCATTTCTGAGGCCCCTCTTAGCCTGTGGCTTCCCCATTTGAGTTCTGAGCCTTGGGAGATGGCAAAGTGTGGGTGGCATTAGGTAGCAAGGCCAGGAGCTGGGCACCTCCACAAGGGAGCTGGTGGACACACTGAGCCAGGAGTCTTCAAAAGAAATCAGCTTTATGTTCTTACAAGATTATGTAACTGGTATCCCAACAAACTCAGGGGCCCCTCTCATAATTAAAGGGAGGCTTGAGTTTTACGGGGCTTGGGGCCAGTAGCTAAGCCCTTGGCACCAGCTGCCCCTGGAAACAGCCGCCTCGCCTCCACCTGCAGCTGGTATTCACCTTTAACTCTTTCAGGGTACACTGCTTTGCTGGTTTTCCCACTTCATTCACTCTTGACACAGACACAGCAGAGGACAGGCTGGCAGTCTGGCAGTGGCTGTCCCTCCCACTGCCTGGTACACATGGGCAGCTGGGGTGGATGCAGAGGGGCTGGGCTGCTTCCGAGTCAGCTCTGGGAGCACACGTCTTGGTTTGTTGTGCCCCAAAAGTCACCTCCTCCTCCAGAAGCCCTTTGATCCCCCGAAGGGTTTAGAACTGGATGTTAGGGAGAAAGACATTGTAGACAAGCCACCCTTAGAGCACAGGGCTTGGTCAGGGCCAGACACATTGGAGAGCCTAGGAAGACATCAGGGGTGGAGGTGTGCAGAGATGATGCAAATGTAACAGGAGGGATAAGGGCTGAAAGGACAAAAACAGAGTTGAAGTTCAATAATTTGTGTGCTCCTGTCCTAATTTCCCACAATTCCACCTATCACTGGGACTATTGTTACCTACAGTTTGTCTATAAATTAATTCACGTAAAAAAACCTTAAGCACAGCAGGGTGACTACAGTCAACAATAACTTATTGCACATTTAAAAATAACTGAAAGAGGGGCTGGGCGCAGTGGCTCATGCCCCTAATCCCGGCACTTTGGGAGGCCGAGGCAGGCAGATCACGAGGTCAGGAGCTCAAGACCAGTCTGGCCAACATAGTGAAACCCCGTCTCAACTAAAAATACAAAAACTTAGGTGGATGTGGTGGTGTGTGCCTGCAATCCCAGCTACTCAGGAAACTGAGGCACGAGAATTGTGTGAACCTGGGAGGAAGAGGTTACAATGAGCCAAGATTGAGCCATTATACTCCAGCCCGGGCATGAGATTTCATCTCTAAATAAATTAAGAAGTATAAATGGGAATGTTTGTAACACAAAGAAATGATAAATGCTTGAGGGGTTGGATACCCCAGTTACCCTGATGTGATTGTTACAGATGGCATGTCTGTATCAAAATATCTCATGTACCCCATAAATATATATACCTACTATGTACCTGTAAACTCCTGTACCCAGTAAATACATACATCTACTGTGTACTCATAAATGCTTAACAAATAAAATAAATAAAAATCAATTTGGTAAGTAGAATTCCTTAAATATTCATATTTATTTGTTTAGTTTTTTGAGAGGGAGTGTCACTCTGCCACCCAGGCAGGAGTGCGGTGGTGTAGTCTCACCTCACTGCAACCTCCACCTCCCAGATTTATGCCATTTTCCTGCCTCAGCCTCCCAAGTAGCTGTGATTACAGGCCCATGTCACTACACCCAGCTAGGTTTTATATTTTTAGTAGAGATGGAGTTTCACCATGTTGACCAGGCTAGTCTCAGACTTCTGACCTCAGGTGATCTGCCCACCTTGGCCTCCCAAAGTGCTGAGATTATAGGTGTGAGCCACTGTGCCTGGCCTAAATATTAGTATTTAAACAGGCAAATTTTAACAAAGGAAGAATTAGGACAGGCCAGTGTCTTTGTTTTATTGCATTTTTCTTGCATTTTTTAAAAAAAGTACTAACTCATTTTTAATGGACAAAAATGGTAAATGCCGTATCATGTAAAACACGTTTTAAAATTACATAGATATTTTAAAGCACTGAACTAATTTGAACTAATTAACATGTGTGTTACCTCACATACTTATTTTTGTGGTGAGAACACTTAAAATCTCAGATTTTCAAGGACACAATATATTGTTATTAACTATGGTCACCATGTTGTACAATAGATCTCTGGAACTTATTCTTCCTGATGAACTGAAATTTTGTGCCATTTGACCAACATCTCCCCAATCCCCCACCCCCAGTCTCTGGTAACCACCACTCTACTCTGCTTTTATGAATTTGATTGTTTTAGACGCCACATGTATGTGAGATCATGAGATATTTGTCTTTCTGTGCCTGACTTATTTCACTTCACGTAATGGCCTGTAGGCTCATCCATGTCACAAATGACAGATTTCCTGCTCTGAGAAGCAGCCCTGGCCATCCTTCTTCACAGGGAGAATCTGGGGGCGGGGACAGGGACACAGAGGACCGCTCCTCTTGTTCCTTGCATTCCATGGGCTTGGAAATCCCAGAGTAGTGGAAACCTATCCCTATCCCGTGTCTCCCGGGGGGTCCTGAGGCAGTATTGCTTCTACAGAAGCCCCTGCAGCTGCAGGAGGCATCTAGGCAGGAGGTCCTGAGTTCCCCGCACACTTCAGAGAGCAGCCAATCATCGTCCTGTGTGCCCAAGGTTAGTTTCCATAGGTGCTGCTGGCTCCTTACTCAGTGTCCACTTAACCACTCCCATGCTTTTCTCCTGGTTGCAGTGAAAAACACTCACTTATCCAGACCCCCCTGCAGCCAGAAAGCCCATGCGACTGCTGGGAAATGGGCTAAAAATGGAAACACACAACAGGCCTTCTGGAAAAGATGTTCCCTGATAAAAAGTGATGGATGCCCATCGATGCATCTGCTCTTTGCTCTACCCTTGACTTCCTGCCTCGAATGAGAATATCAAGAGGCCCCTGGCACGCAGGTGCTTGCAATATAAAATATGAAACCTCCTTGGGAACAGCAGGACAAAAACACATGCTGTGAGTGGCAGAGCAGAAAGAGAGGAGCCTGGGTCCCTTCTGGCACCAAGTTGAGGCTGCAGCTGCCTGATCTGTCTCCCTCTGGAATTTTCCTTATGACAGAAAAATAAATTCCTGTGTGGCTAAGCCACCGTTGTGGAGGACCTGTTACATGCAGCCAAAAGCCAGTCCTAACCTGCAGGGAGATGACTGGAGGCTAGGAGACCAAGGAAGTGTCAGGAATGTCCACATTTAGTTTAGTTTTTTGTTTTTTGATTTGTTTTGTTTTGTTTCATTTTTTGAGATGGACTCTAGCTTTGTGGCACAGGCTGGAGTGCAGTAGCATGATCTCAGTTCACTGCAACCTCTGCCTCCTGCGTTCAAGCGATTCTCCTGCTTCAGCCTCCCTAGTAGATTGGATTATAGGCACGCGCCACCACATTCAACTAATTTTTGTATTTTTAGTAGAAACAGGGTTTCACCATATTGGCCAGGCTGGTCTTGAACTCCTGACCTCAGATGATCCACCTGCCTTGGCCTCCCAAAGTGCTGGGATTATAGTCATAAGCCACCGTGCCCAGTCCACACTTCAATATTTACTTATTTATTCAACAGGTATTTACTGAATGCTTACTCTGTGCTTTGCCCTGTCCTGGGCTGGGAATACATTCAAAACATTAGTGTAAACAACATCAGTCAGCACCGACATTGGTTGCTATGGGCCCACACAGACATAAATGCCCTGCACTGAATAGCAGTCTTGAATACATCAGTGACAAAGCAGGCAAAACTCTCTGCCTTGATGGATACTATCCTATATTCGAGTATTCAATCAAGTATAGAGCATGTTAGAGGATGTTAAGTATTATGGGGAAAAATAGGGCAGCTATGGGCCAGGCTTGGTGGCTCATGCCTGTAATCCCAGCACTTCAGGAGGCCAAGGCAGGTGGATCACTTGAGGCCAGGAGTTCCGACCAGCCTCGCCAACATAGAGAAACCTTGTCTTTACTAAAAATACAAAAATGAGCCCAGTGTGGTAGCAGGTGCCTGTAATTCCAGCTCTTCAGGAGACTGAGGCAGGGGAGTTGCTTGAACCCAGGAGGCTGAGGTCACAGTGAGCCAAGATCGTGCCACTGCACTCCAGGCTGGGTGACAGAACGAGACTCTGTATAAATAAATAAATAAAGCAGTTATTTTAAGTATGTGCTGTAAGGACTACAACACACATATGCTCATGCATGCACACACGTACACACATGCTCAGGCATGCATTAAGTATGCACACAATATCTTCATGAACCCCCTACAACTTTGATGTAGCCTCAAGGAGAAAAGGAAATTCTATTCAGTCCAAGAAACGCTGAATTGACTGAGATTATCCTGAATTAAGACTGTATTACTGATCATATAGGATGATGCAGCTCAAACGAACCTGCAAGATGCCTGCCACCTTGATTTTCAGTCAAGGCAAGCAGAATGAGCATGTAGTATCTCCATCACATGGCCACAGCCCTGTCCCGACCCCTGTACTTGCCTGCAACGTGCAGTTCACCTCATTGGCTTTGCACTCCAGCTGCCTCTTGACCATCTCCAAGTTCTGGTTCTCAGTCAGAAGACTGTCCAGCTCGTTGCTCAGCTCTCACTTCCAGAAGCCAATGTCCAAAAGCCTCTGGCCCAGGTTCCCAAATGTGCCCTCCTGCATCTGGTGCATCAGCTAGTCCTTGTCCTGCAAGAGCCTCATGGAATTGTCTGTCAGCTGGCTGGCCCACAGCCGGGAGGCCTTGGCCCTATGCACCTGCAGCGGGTTGGACTGGTCCCAGTCGTGGGGGCTATAGCGAGAGAATAGTGCAGAGCAGAGCGTGGGCAGGATGATGGGTAGCCACAGGGTGCTGGGGCTCTCGTCCGGGCAGGTCTGGACATTGGAGATCTTGTACAAGTGGCTAGGCCTCCATGAATTGAGGTAGCGGCACCCGGGTAGTTAGTAGGGCTGACAGCACTCTTGGATCACTGGAGGCTGTACAGCTGGCAGCAAGGTCAAGCCACAGCATTTGTTGGGGCCACAGTACCTGGTGGTCTGATTGGTTCCAAGAAACTCCATCCTCCCTCATGAGTCCAACTCGGGTAAAACTCTGCTCAAAGGGCTGGGGAAAGTGCTTCTCTTGGGGACTGGCACTGGTATCATAAAGGCTGAGGAGAGGAACTTTTAGTGGGTCCTTTGCTCACTTACAGGCCAGCTGGGGCTTATTGTCCAAAACAAAAAGACAAAAACAATAATTGGCAAAGTGAATGTGAGTTTCACAGTCCACACATTTGGTTGCAAGAAGTGACATTTTGTCTTCCTATTACAGCTGAATTGTGTTCCCAGACCTAACTGGGCCCCGTGGGAGGAAAATTAATGTAGTTCAGCCAGTGAATTCAATCCACTCAGGGCCAAGAAGGCATCAAAATGGTCCATCTGAGGCAAAGCATGGTGGCTCATGTCTGTACTCTCAGCACTTTGGGAGGCTGCGGCTGGAGGATGGCTTGAGTCAGGAGTTTGAGACTAGCCTGGGCAACATATTGAGAGCCTCCATCCCTAAAAAATTTTAAAAATGAGCTGGGCACACTGGCTCACACCTGTGGTCCCAGCTACTTAAGAGGCTGAGGCAGGAGGATCACTTGAGTCCAGGAGGTAGAGGCTGCAGTGAGCTGTGATTGCACCACTGCACTCCAACCTGGGTGACAGAGCAAGACTCTTTCTCCAGGAAAAAAGAAGGTCCATTGGCACCATGGAATGCCACTCAGCAATTCTACTCAAAACAGCACAAA